GACACTTATTATGATATTGTTATGGATGAAGTGAAACTGACAAAATCTAAAAGTCAGCAGAAAATTAATAAGTACCTGTAGTTCATTTTCAAAGAACCATATGTCTGGGGGAGGCCAAGGAGTTGGTACCAGCAGCAGATGGCTGATGGTGTAACTGTGGAAGTTGTGTGCACTGCTGGATTTTAATATATTTTCTATATATCTAAATCTTTATCTAGTCTTTGGATAGTGTAGAAAACAGGACATTGGCTGGTTATTTGTGCATGGGACAGGTGAGAGGACAGTACCCTTGCTTGTCTTTGGAGGGATCACTAGTGACTCCAATTTCAGATTATTTGCACATTTTGACTGGGCCAATATGTATGTACAGTATGTATGTATGTATTATATGACCATCAACCTGTATTGCTCCACTTCTCGATAAAGGCTTCCTCAAGTACAGTACTTCTACAATCATCTAATGCCTACCCTGCTTAATGAATGTCTCTAAATATTCTGAATTCACTTTATATATCTATATGATAGTTGGTATTTTTCTTATGCCATTTTTTATTGTGTTGGATATACTGTCTTAAAATTGCTATAATGGAAGCATAAATTAGTTTCTCCTCTATGTATTCCTCTTTCCCTTTGCTGAATTAGAATAGTTAATGTATAATTTTGCATACATTAAAGCAATAAAAATAGATTTTAATTTTAATAATTACAAAGCCTTTTCTTCTTCTGTCTTAACATATATATATTCTTATGAATCTGCAAATGGATAAAGGCTTTTAAAGATGTTGAATATATAGTAAGATCCAAATCAGACTGCCTGTTACTCATTTGCACTACTGTAGTTTGGTTCACATTAAAAAAATACAATAAAAAACCCATACACATCTCCAATTGTCAATTATTGCACCTTGCACGAGTCAAATAAAAAATATACTCGAGTTTGTATATGTTTAGGTGAAGACAATGAGAGTAATATAATATGTTTAGGTGAAGACAATGAGAGTAATATAATTAATGACTATGCCTCATACACACCCATGATAAGGTCAAGAATTGTTCATCACTTCACACATATAAATGCCTGAGGATAGTTTCAGCTGGAAAATCAATGGAAGGTATTTATCACAGACCTTTTCAAGACAGTATTAATTCTTGGATGATTTGCTCTTTATTGTCCCCTCTCAAGATACTGAATATATTTTCTTAATTCAAAATAAGAGATGAGTTTTGTTTGATAAGAGCCTACACCAACATCATTCAATCTTACATAATTGCTTTTAGATTTTAACCTGACATCAGATCCATAAATGTTGATAAAATATCACCAAAGACCTAACAAGCATCAGTTTAGGTGCACCGATATGCCTTCCATTCCTTGCACCCAAAACTTGCTCCTCACAGATTACGTCAATGTTGCCATAACTATACAAAAGGCGTAAGTGTGATAATGCCAACAGTAACTGCTCTTGGACATAAGTTCAAAACTCATCTACGTGAAGTATGAACAAGTAGACGAGTCTAGCTGAACCTTTCCCAAAAACTTGTTGACTGCTGACAATGTGGTAAATAAGCAAGTGGATGGAAGAGGTGTTTTTCCTCTACAAAGATTCTCAAACCTATGTAGGATATTTGCCTCTTACAGAAATACCAGTGCATGTGTGTGCCAAGATGAATTATTTCATGAGCAAAACTAAGCAATTCTAAGTAGCACATTTGTCTATTTAATAACATATATAAAAAAGGGCTTTATTGAAATGCTTTCAAAGGCTCCCATTTCATGATCACAATATAAATGAAAAAAGAGTGGATAGTATCCCATCAGAGACGATATAGAGAAATCACGTTATAGTTAAATCTGTGCAATCTAATTAAATGTGTAAGTTAATACACGTTATAGTGTCAGGTAATAATGTATTAAAGAAAAACTTAGTAGTGAAGATGATTACTAGCTGATATGTGTTCAGGTGCAGTAGCTAAAGTATAGAACCTCAGTTTGTGGTAATTTGCAAATACTAATTTTCTAAGGTGATGTGATGCTTTACCCCATTTGATATAGCAAATATACCAGAGCACCAAACTGACAGACTTTCATTCCATGAAATCATGGGATTCCTGTTCCTGTGTGAGTTTATACAGTGTGTGTGTGTGTGTGTGTATACAATATATATATATATATATATATATATATATATATATATATATATATATATATATATATATATATATATATATATATATATATATATATATATATATATATATATATATTTAAATTTTGCTACTTTTTGAGACGTAACTACCAACAGTTCACTAGTGACGGAGACCCTAATAAACTGTACAATGAAAAGTGTGCACATTTTGAGGTCTATAGTATCTTTTGCCAACTGGATACTTTACTTATATTTCCATTTTTTATTACTTTGGATAATATATACTCTGTTGTACCCTACAATACACAAACAACAAGAAATGAAGGACTGAAGTATGAAATCCTATCTTGTGACCGAGAGGAAGAAACAAGTGACCTACGAGACCCATACCAGCAAGTACTCCTCTGGCCCTGCCTACCTTTGCCTGAGAACTTAGTCTACCAAACTTTCCCTCTTTCCATTACTCTTGCTTACATTTCTCTTATTGCCCCATCCTGAACCACCAGTAGTTTTCCACTTCCAAATACACTCTATGGTATGCTTCAATTTACCCATAAAAGTTTTGAATGGCCTTAAACAATTTCCAATTTATCTCGTATGTTTATATAGTACCTGTACCTTCCAGATAATCAATGTAATTTTTTGCCCAGAATTATTCACCATGCCTCAAAAATTGGTTGCTATAGGAGAACCTTGGGTTATAAATTCATTATTAACCTAAACTTACTAACTCGGGAATTTCGAGAAAGATTTACACCAGGTGCAGCTGAACTACTGTTCATTATAGTGACTATCTAACAAAAGCTTATGTGCAGTGCCAAAATTTAATGCTATTAATTATCTTATAAATTTATTCTTATAAAAGGGGATTTCAAATAATAAATTTCTCCAAGATTCCTTTATATCATCTAGTTTAGTATCATCAGTAACAATCTACCAAGACCTCAGTTGATGTAGACCATTGACTCCAGACTGTACTACTTCAGTGCAGTTGCCCCAATTCAGTGAACCTGACTATCTCCTGATTATTTAAATACCATTGTCATGAATAGTCTTGATCCTCAGTAATCAGTCTCAATTATATGTTAATAGACACAGTACAGTATGTTAAAATTTCAAATTTTTGGCAGAAATTTGATGAAAGAACATTCTTGTAGTGGGTAAGAATCATGTGAACCACTGCTAAAATAAGTCAGTGCACACAAAGGGACTGTAGTGTGTATACTGGCCATGAGCACTGTGGAAAGACAAATAAAACCGAGTCTCAAAGGAGGACTAGGAAGATCCTCACTATGATGTCATAGTGTGTACGAGAATTAAGAACCATTTACCTTTATTTACTTGTGGTAAATGTTGGGGTATTCCAGAGTCTTCATGGGATGACCCGTTCATAACCATTATTGCCAATGTCAGTGCTTGTTCGGCGGCCCTTAGAGATTTTTGTGGTGGTGTTCTTCATACAACATGTGGCAAATATAAAATGGAGAAATTTTTTGATCTCTCACAATGAGTTCATGCACGTTCGAATCAGTCTAGCATGAAGCCAAAAAGTGTTTGCTGCACTTAAGAAGGGAGTAAGAACTCATGTGGTATGTCATAAAAGATTACTTTTAACTACAAAATGAAAGGCCAAACTATTCAGGCAAGGAATCATTATGACCAAACAGCCCCACTTGCTGAGCACTATCAGGAACACACATGTGTTGAGCACAATTATTCATTTAACACTTTCACAGCAACACGATGAAACTATTGTACTCATCTCGAAGTTCTAAATTCTGAAAGTGTTACTTCTGTAGGTGCAGCATTCACCAACATCTTTAAAAAATATTTAAAGTTAGGAACAATAAATTGATCCTCTTTCACTGATCCCAATGAAGGCACTGGCAGTGGTACTGACAACTAAGACCAAGAGGAGTTCTTTTTAAATTTGATGACTTCGCAGGAACTGAAAGGGTCATAGCATGAACTTCCTTTTAAAGGTAGAAGGGGTTCAAAATGTGAGTCTGGCTAGTCTTTAAGACAACCACCAAATCAAAGATCAAATTTTTATCCCTAATTCAAATGGGTGAGGAAGCTATATGCAGTACAAGTTTTATCTATCTACATGGAGACATATCCCAGTACTAAACATATCAAGCTCTCAAAAGGTAGGCTCAGGCAGGTGTTCTACTGGTATGGATCTCATAGGTTTCTTGTTGATGTCCTGTAGGTCATAAAATTAGATAAATCATAAAGGTGCTCTGAACCCTTCAGTTATGATCTCCATAATCTAATGTAAAGATCAATATTTCCAATCTTAATAATTTCAAGGAATAAAGTGCTAAATTCCTTGGGAAGACAAGATGCTTCTCCACTCTCCCTTCATAAAGAAGAACTATTGCTACTTGCCGGTATGTACCAAAACCTGTGATAATGTTGTATACATTAGAATTTTTTTTTGTATAACTAGTTCAAATATACAACCCTCCAATTGAATTATGGTGCCTTTATGCATGCAAGCTGCTCTAAATATTCAAATACACATGATATTTTGCAAATTCTAGTCATCTCAAAACCTCAGCAAACAGTAATTTGGGAATAAACTATTTGTTTTGGTAAATTAAACATAAAGGATATCTAAAGGTGTGAGCTTCATCTCAAAAGTCACTACTTGTAGCTCAGCTAAAGAGGAGAAGCTTACTCCAAAATTCTGGGGTTCAGCCACCATTCAAGTTCCTAATTATTACACTAGTACCAAGATATATAAATTATAACTAATATAAAGATTCATCTACCAACAGTAAATCTCTGAAACAACTAAGCAAGTCTAAAATTTCATCATGAAATTATTGAAAATTGATACAAAATATGTCAAATGAAATAACTTTAGTTATAATTTTTCATGAAAACAAACCCACACCTTGATAAAAAACAAGACATATGAATGAATATTACACAGCTGTAATTGCAGTCTTATCTGTTGTGAATTTTCTAGTGACCAATTTGGTTGTTTACTCTGTCTATAAGTAACACTGGACACTTAAGATAATTCACTTATCCTCTTTTTACCCACAAAAGTTAACCTCTCATGTCATCTAGTATGCATTTTTGTCAATGAAACCACTTCCATCACATAATGGCAACATGACCCAAATACATTGTTAGAAATCAACTTTCTTTGAATGTGCTACAAGCAAGAGGCCCAAGACAACATCCCTTTACTTTGTAGAAGAGAAAAATAGAAACAGTCTTATTTTTTTTCTTTTTTAAGGGAGGAAGACTGAATGGCCTCCAGCAATATAATGCTCTCCAAGTTATTGTGTGGCAACTGATCATACTTATAGGGCCAATCAGTGCCCAGCATTTCTAAATAAGATGATAAAAACTCAATCCTCTACAGAGGTTTGTGTGAGGATTACTTCCCTTTGCATTAGCACTGTTTCACACATCAAGAATTAAGATATACTCATGAAGCAAGTTTACATGTCCACAATAAAATTTCCAAATAAATTCAAAAGTCATTAACATATATTAAGCATATCTAGGTATAAAAAAATGGCACAAAAGCATTAAGTAACACTATATCTTTTTAAATCTTCAAGTTAATTTCTAAGGCTTGTTGAAATGTCCCTTCTGAACATCCAGTTTAAGAGTCCTTCTCTTTGAGATTTAAAACACGGTTTATCGATTTCTAACATGCCATTTCCCACGTTCCAAACAGGGTGTCCCACACAGAATCTTATCCAAAACACCACTATCATCATCTAGATCACTGGTTGCTAGCATTGACATTCTATGTGACTCCCAATTCCAATGCTGTAGCCCATCTAAATCCGAATTCTTAAAATGCTAAAGCACTCCTCAAATATTATTTTACATCTTGCAGCATTGTTCTACTGTCCTAATAGTTGTATATTACATACCAGCAACATTGTGGACTGCTGCGTTTTATTGAGGTTTCCTCTAAGAATTCGGCTAAGAGAGTACCACAAAGCTCAATGAAAAGAGCACAAATACTTTCCTTCAATGGCAGTGTATCTAATGAATCAAACAAAGTAGTTCTTTACATGTGAGGTTCCTTCGTTGAAGTTCACAAGTTTTTAAAATTGGTGAATTAACAACTACACTTATAAATCTATATAGATAAGCCAACCATACCATCTGAGTGCAATAATAAAAAGGCCCAAATGCTCCTACATATGGCAAGAGGGAGGCGGCTACCAATTGATGAAGGGTAAGGTAGTGACTTGACCAGGCCGCTATTTAGGCAATGAGCGGATTCAGCTTGAGTAGCACTGTACAATTCTTTAATGTTTTGTAAACTGTCAATTCTGAGAGTACGTCCAGATAAATTGGCTAGTATTTTTCAGATAAGAAGACTAAATATTTCTTCAGTAGACCATACATACTCAAAGTGAAAGAAAGCGATCAAGTCACAACTTATATCTCTGAGGATTGGTACAGATGGCCAATGCTGGTAACCTCAGACAGAAATATCCTCCAACTGGATGCATAGCTACCTCCTCCTCTCCAATTACAGTAAGTTTTGCATTGCATACAGCTGGGAAATTAACCTCTATGGAAAGACTTTGTAAGGTCCACGAATGTCAATCTGACCACACTGTCATATGCTGGTGCCCGAAGTAGGGTAAGAAACCTGATACACACCCTGAAGTTGTCGTCTCTGCTGATATGCGGGGCGTTAACAGGTTGTTTAATGGGAGTTCTTTCTTTCAGGGTCAAGGCTTTCACTGCCTTGAGTTTCTATTTGTCTGGGACCCTGGAGGATATTTAGTGCTAGAAATGTAAACTGCCAAAGCTTTATGGCTACATAAGTCAATCGATATACACGTTTCATTAAAAGTATGAAAAATCACAACTGAAAAACCGCTGTGGTAAGTTTTGCATTGTAACATTATCCTTCACTGAAGAATAAAGGTTCCACCACAAGTTTTTCTTAATGGGTTTGTACCAGTATGTGCCTTAATTTTCTTCAGCACTGTTGTAACTCAGCCCATATCCCATTGGCAAGGAAGAGAGGAGTGCACAGCCTGGGAAAAGATGAAGGGAGAAATGAGTGGCATATCAGTGAACAAAGACACAAAGAAAGGAGATTAAGAATAAGATGACATACCAAAAGTATAACAAGAACATTTTTAACAAAAGAATCTATGAATTTTCTGAGTAGAGAAGAATGTGATACTAGAACAAGAAGAAAACAACTGCATATTGTTTAAGTAAATGAATGTAGATATGTGAAGGTAAAGCAAATAACTGAAAAGTCTCCTGAAAAAAAAAAAGAGTAATTGGAGTATAGAATAAATAAGAATAATTTGAAGAAAACCAGATGAAGAGGTGAGCGATGCCAAGCCACAGGGGGCCAGATGCAAGAGATGAATGACTTAAGGTGAAGGCTAGGTACATTTTGTCTATTAGTGGCATAATGGTGGAATGGGATACAATGGGTTGTGGAAAAAGGGTTCAATTGGGCTGCAAAATGAGACACAACAAACTAGCTTTAGCCAATTGCCAACCATAATTGGTTGCATTCCTGGCACAGCCAATAAAACCACACTAGACACCTTAAGATGCCCGTGTGGGGTTCTTCTAGCTGCTCGTTGATGCCATTGGGGACATTGGAGAGACAGGAGTTCGGCCATCTCGTAAGCACCCATTTATAGTCGCAACAATCTTTCGAGGCCCAGCTTCATTTCGGTGTTCACATAACCATATTCCCTGTGACGAGAAAACAGAACATCTCTATGTTATCCTGAAAGCAATAAAATTATTACAAATAAAAATATTTGAAATATCAATTACAACTGTAATACAGTAACAATAATAATACAGTACTGCTTAACCCTTAGTAGAGTGTGACTGTACAGTAAAACCAAGTTAATTCAGACCCTATCTGGCAAGTGGTACTCTTTTAAAGAAAGTAAACACAGTACAATAATATGAAACATCAAATTAATGAAGAAATCTTCTAGTCTACTTCGTCAGTTCATAGTCCATTTTCACTTTTTATCTAAAAAAAAAAGGAAATTTTGAAAATAATACAGATCAAAAGTGTACTATTACCTGTAGTTAAGAAGCTGATAAATGGAGCACCACTGGCAGCCATCTTGTTTACATTAGCCACTCAGCCCATTAAGGGCACAAACATGAAGGAATGTTGGGTAAAGTTCCACAAATAAAATAAAAAAATACTAAAATATGATTTTCCAAAAACAACATCAAAATTATGAGATAACCTTAACTAGATACATTTACTTAGCAAACATAAGGAGATAAAAACGAAGACAGTAAATTTATTGGAAAGGATGCTATTCTTAATTCTATCTGATCATAGGTGAGCATATCTACTTAAGGCAGAGAGCGATACAATTTTGATGCTAATTCTGGACATCATTTCAGGCGATAGTTTCAATAAACCTGCTAAGGTGCATTCTCAAAACTTCATGCTCCCCAGACCTTTGTTCACACGTACTGTATTAGTTGCACCATGCTGTAAACACATGTACTGTACTGTGACACCAGTATTTTTGTGTGCAGTGCTTCATATTTAATCACCATGGCAAGTGCAAGTGGTTGTGGTGAGGTGAATACAAACTAAAGTTTCAACAAGAATATAGCATAATATAGCTCATAATCAGGCAGCTCTCGTAATATAGGACGACTTACTAGGGGAGTCTGCTATCTTTAGTGAGGTCCCTCTGACAACAGCTGGAGCTGATTTTTATTTAAATTTTGGGGGTTATAGTAAAGGCATCTCCCAGCTTACGGAAACTCTGGTTATGGAAATTCGCACTTAAGGAATTTGGAAATTATGACCAAAAAATTCGGGATACGGCCAAAGAATTCTCCCTTACGGATTTGGAGTAAATTTTTTAGTTTTTCAAACATAAAAATTGCGACATAAATTAACAAATTTCACCCAAATTATAAAATTTATATTGTGTGGGTTACAATACCTGTACAGTGGAGGACGGTGCACCCACACCAATGGTGCTCAGTTTGATATCAAATCCCAGTTTGTTCGGTTTTACGTGTGTGTTCAGGACTGTGTTACTGTGTACCCTTTTTCATGATGAGTGGAAAGAGACCATCAAGCTCAAGTGAAAGCAGTGATGTTAAAAGATCCCATAAAGGAATTATGTTGGACATTAAACTTGATGTTTTAAGGAGGTAACTCCCAGTACAGTAAACCCTCGATAACTCGGAATTTGATAACTTGGAATTTCATAAAAACATGGCATGATTATGGTCTCGGAATGTACGTATTAGTATAACTCGGAAAATGCCGAGATATATATAAAATTATCTGGGAAAATCTAGGCATATCTGGCCACCTGCATCCCCTACCATGCTTGTGTCACCTACCATGCCTCTGTGTCACCTACCATACCTCTGTGTCACCTACTATGCATCTGTGTCTCCTACTATGATGCTTCATTCTTCACCTGCAGTGCTGGTAAGTGTTACTTTTTTACATTTAGTAATTACATGTACACATACATGGGTGGATAATTTTTTATTGTTGTATTTTTGTAGGAGGGGGAAGTGCCACGATACGTAGGAATTTGGGATAACACGGCAGGACCAGAGCCCCATATGTGCTGAGTTATATCAAGGGTTTACTGTATAACTCAAATCACACCACCTCACCTCACTCCCTCATGCAGCACTTAATACTGCTTGTGGTGAGTTAAATTCACATGTTGTGTGCATTTATTATCATTCATGAAGTAATCAATGTACGTGTTTAAATTTTTTTTTTTATTCATGTGTGTGCTTGTACTATGCATTATTGGAAAAAATATTTCCTTGGGAACGCATGTCCAATTATATAATGGCAATCAATGAGAAAATTGGTCCCACGTTATGGAAACATTTTCAAGGAAACATCCCGTTCATAACACGAGGGATGCCTGTACCATCACACTGTCCCCTAAGAGGTGTGATCTGGTGCAACGGCTATTTTCTACAGGCTGGGAGGTCTTATGGAACAAGGTATGTCAAAGTACAGTGTACAATCCACAATTTTCAGAGAATTTCCAATTGTTGATGTATTACTGAATTTACTAAATTACCAAGCACATTTAAGGACCTTAGTTGTTGAAGTGCAGAAATAACATTATAACGTCGAAGATGTCAGATCCATCTGTCATATTGTAATTCAGTTTCAGCTGGCAAATTCTGACTAATTAAATGGGGGGAGGGGGGTGGTATGGGAGCTTTTTGCAATCATGACTCTGGCAAATGGTTTTGGAGGATACATAAGTACTACAGTATACTGTAATACAGGTAGTACCTCTCTAGTCCAGGAACCTCGGGACCTGACCGGTGCCGGACCATGGAAATTCACCCTTTTCCTGGATAGATAGTGACTTGTGCTTATGCTTGGAAGCACTAGCACCACTTTCTCTGCATCATGGTCTCTTTGAAGACATATTGAAGGGTTAAATGTCGTATAGTAGCTTCTCAAATTTCGCGAGTTTTTAATTCTTAACGTATTTTATTGGAACACACAAAAAAATAAATAAATAAAAATTTTGACGGCAGAAGCTTGAATTTCGACGGGTTTGAACGGCCCGCCAACGTGCAGACGACGTGCATAATCGTGTAAACAGCGTCATTTCTCTTATGTACAAAAGATTCATTATTGTTTATTACTGAATGTCTTTTTTATTGAATTAATGTTTGTGTGCAAAATGAGCAATACAATTCATTAATAATACGTAGAATATTAAAACACACGAGGAAATGACACAGCATTGTTTTCGTTGATTACAAAGCCAGTGACTGACTGGTTCTACATATAAAACTGAAGAAAATAAGACCTTGGTTGTAGCTGTAGTAAAATTAATATGGTTGTTTTAAGTAATGTTAATTAATGTTAATAAATGGAACAATAGAAGTAGCTAACGATAATGGTAAAGAAAAAAGAGAGATCGAGTATGTAAGTGCGCATGCGCACACGTGAAAACATATCGTCATTACTTTACATAAGAATATGAAAGCAACACTTATTTACTGTTCATATATATTTTAATTTATGTTTCTGAATTTGTTTTTATTGAATTAATGTATGTGTGTGCAAAATTAACAATACAATTTATTAATAATACGTGGAATATTAGAGGAGATGAGACGGCTGCCGGCATTGTTTATGTAAAAGCTTACGAAACCAGTGACTGATTGGTTCTACATATAAAACTGAAGAAAATAAGACCCTGATTTTAGCTGTAGTAAAATTAATGTAAAAAAAAATAATATGGTTGTTTGAAGTACCTGTAATGTTATTTAATGTTAATAAATGGAACAATATAAGTAGCTAACCATTAATGGTACAAAAAAAGTGAGACTGCGCGTATGTAAGTGTGCACATGTGAAAACATATCGTCATTACTCGACATAAGAATATGAAAGCAACACTTATTTACTGATCATATATATTGAAGGGTTAAATGTTGTACTCTGTATAGACAAGCAGAGAGAGAGAGAGAGCAGCCGAACTGCCGGATGTAAACAAACCTTAATTTCCCGCGGCTGTTTTTTATTAAGGGGATTAGCCCACCCGGGCACAGGTCACTGACCCACATTGGGGCCTGAGGGGCAAAAATTTAATACTCCTGTAATAATAATTCAGACAAAAAAAAAAAGCTGCCTATCTACCTATTGGACAAACTAAAATCGTTCCGGACCACGGCAGTTTCTGGACCACAGAATGCCGGACTAGAGAGGTACAACCTGTAACAACAAAGGCATTAAGCTGCAATTTGCTACAATACTCACACCTAAGAAATCTGAACTTCACTTAATTTTGTGCATATCAATGATAATTTCAGACAGAGGCACCATAAGACTTTTGTTCATTTCAGATATTTTGTTCAGATTTCAGAACGTCACTACTGCCTGATCTTTCATCAGAGCCACTAAATGTGAGGTACATCAGTAACGTACATATCTCTAACCACTATGTCATGGGTTCGAGTCCTGGCTCGGACACACGTGAAAAGGTGTGACCCTACCAAATATTGCAGGTTTCTTCTGGGTACTCTGATTTCCTCCTGTACTAACACTGGACAATAAAGTTCATAACAAAATAATAAAGAGCAAACCAATTGCCCAAATGGCTAGTAAGCTGGTAAGTGGTTAAATGATAAATCTACATGCTTCTTTAAAAGAAAGCTTCCTTGAATCAAGTCAAATATTAAGGTGTGGCTTGAGTCTAAATAATAATAAATAATAAAAATAAATAAAATAATAGGAAAAACTGTGCCTTCATACCAGGGGTGGTTTGATCATGTGGGCAATTACCTGGTACAATTAACTTTTTTAATATGATTAGCATTCATATGTACCAAGATGTGACTTTGTGGCTCGGTTCATTCAGTCTTAAATAATTTCATGTATCTACCTCCTTTTCCAAAGCTTGCAATGCATCATCTTCTGGGAATACTGCATCATGGCTTATCAGAAGGTGCAAACACTGCATCATCTCTCTATATATAAAGACAATAGAAGCTAATGATCTCTGTCATTCAAAAATTACAATTCAGTGTGAAAGCATCAACAAGGCTTCAAAATGTAAAAGAAAAAAGTACTTGAGTGAGGAGTGTGACAAGTTGACCTACTGTAGAAAACCATGGACCGGTTACGGTTTGTGAATTCGAACAAGAGGAGAGGTAATTACTGCAACTGAGAGGAGGAATTCATTTTACTGAACAGAACCAAGGCTACCTCCATCATGGATTCTATTTGCAATACAGTACTGTATTAAAAATGCCTATGGAAGTAATGCTCTAACTCAAAACCCATATTCTATGCATAAAAAGGCATACAGTATTGTATTACTAGTACTGTATTGTAACTTTAATAACTTATTCATGAGGTTTATCAAACATTACCATACATTTCTATTTGGTTCACACCTTAAAAGAGTTGCATGTGAACTTACAGCTTAATTTCCTGAGTCAGTTTTTTTTAAGTCAAGATTAATAAATGTTGATAAGAATTTCGAATGAATGAGTTGTGTGGCATAGCTGCACATCCCCTGGTGCTATATATGACAAGGGGAGATCTGCATGCACAAAAATAATCTACAGTTGATTTGCTTATCTCCCTGCCTTAAGTGGTATACAGTATCTTTGCCTCTCAGATTCCTTTCAGAGAGCTATGGTTTATGATGTAAGTTTTAATAAGTGTCTAATCAATGCCAGCCATTAATGTTGTGGGTAACCCTTGGTTGTAACCCATACATCTGTTGAGTAAATAGTGTTAATGAGTCTTCTTTGAATGATGACAAGTTATAAAATGATTTCTTAGAAATATGGAGAAAGAGAGAGGAAAAAAATGAATACAATCTTACCTGCCAAGTTCCCAGGTTGAGCTTGCCTTCTGAAATGGGCAGCGTAAGAGAGGAACCTATGAAGCAAGCCTTGACATGGGCCGGCTGAATTGGAATGGTGTGGGAAGAGAGGAAGCAAGAAGATATGATCAGTATTTCAGAAATGGAAATCATCTAGAAATTTATTAAAATTCTATCACACGTGACTTTATTTTTTTTTTTGCCATTTCAGGTCTTCCTAATACATTAATTGGTTAGTGTATGACATTTTGACAAAAATTATATTCATTATCATGAGTTTTAAAATATGATACAGTTCCCTATCATAAGAAGGCAGTACCTTCCTATCATCATTACTCTGAATAATAATTTTGATGCATATTAAAAGGAGAAAGAGCTTATCAGCAATTCTTAGTCTGGTAAAGAAGCTACAGGTATTGAAAAATTAATGTTGTTTTTAGTTTAAGCCAATAAATTTTCTCAATACTTAAGCAATTACAGTTAAACTAATTTCTGGGGATACACAGTACAAATATCACCAGTCGTCCCTCAAGTTTTCCATCTTAAGAAAAAAAAATGCAAACATGAGGACTGAAGTATGAAATTCACTTTAAAGTCGAGGGAAGAGACAAGTGATCTGCAAGGAGACTCCCACTGACACCCCCTAGTAGAGCCTACCATGATCAGGGGTTTGACATGTTCTAGCAGTAAGCTACACTGTCTTAATGCATATATATAATGTGTTGCTCAGAAGCTCAGACTGTTTAAATACTTTAAACTTCCTAGTCCAGCAAGTTGCTATAGGATTCAAGAGGACTTTAGAAACACAAAGATGAAAACCTTGAACGTTACCCATAAATATTATCCCTTATGGTCACAATAGATGCCTCAAATTCTTATATATCCTGCTGATTAATAATCTTACTGGGGTGGACAGAAAAATATTAGGTAATCATCTCTTTCCCTCAGGTATACAAATGAGATTACATGCTTCAATCCTCTCGTATATTGTATGTACAGTATACACTTATGTGGTCTATGGCAATTGGGACACCATGCCATCAGGTTGTCACATATGCTAGCATGGAAAATGGCCATAAAATGGTGATGACAACAACGATGGTGATAATTATGTTAGAGTGAACAATTGCTTATATGAAAATATATTCATAAATAACTGTTTTATCAATGCATTATATATTGCATATACAGTACACCAAACAAGAGAAAGAACTGTAAAGGTTATAGCTAGGATATTTCTTTTGCATGACTGAATAAGAAGCACTTCAGTTAGCACATATATGTAATCAACTTTTAAGTTAAATAGTTTATGAGAAAAACCAAGAATTCACCCTGGAAATCCCATTGACTGAGTTGGGACAAGGAGATGCTTGTATTTACCCATCAAGTCTTTCACAGACGGTTTCCTATTTAAATATAATGTAACATAAGGCTACTGTATAGATATAATACATACGTAAAGATGCACCCATACTTAAAATATTATAATAAACCTAGCTGTTGTGTATGCTTGAGAAGTCCAGGCTCCTCATTAAAATTAAAAAATCCATCCTTTGGAAAGCCTCAGGATAGGAGGGGAAAGTTTAATTCTCAAACCTGAAAACGAATTGACCCTTGGAACTATAGCAGCTTGTGCATGTAGACCTTCCCTTGTCCATCACCTGCAGTACTGGATTTCCAGTAAAAAGCCTCAGTCCAGCTGAAGTTCTCAATCACATTCAAAGAAACAGTGAAGGTTCCAGGTCTCCTTGTCCCAATACAGCTGTGAAATGGGATATCCAGGATCAATCCCTTATCTATAGCTTGCTCAGGCCAAGGAGACCTGTGTACTCAAAACCTGTCATATGAATGGGCGAGCTAGCACAATGAAATTCAAACATTAGTGAGCACCTGCATTACCCAAAGACATTCCTCTGGGGATAGCTGAAGATGCTGCAAAACCCAAAAATCCAAGAGCATGTACTCTGAAAGTGCAGCTTGGTTATGTAAGTCCAATTATCATGCTAAAATCTATGATCAAGACGTGCTTGATGAATAAACCTTTTCTGTGCTTATACGAAGTACTGTGCTGTATACTGTATAATTATGTTTTGGGAAAATAAAAGAGGGGTCTCCTTTTTCCATTGGAATTTAAGATTCAATCTAAGGCTTTTCCAACTAAGAGATGGTACAAAGGACATAAAACTAGACTCTTTTTTAAGCTCACGAATCTCTCAAACCCATCTTCTTCATGCCTGGGCTAACAACCAAATAAATTTCATGAAAATACATTTTAGTTATTTCTCAACCAGAACAAGGTGACGTGCAATGATTATTCAAGGGTTGTTTAAAAAAATATACAGTATACAAATGTATAGTAAATCTTCTGATTGTAGTTTGGCTATTGCACATTATCTGCTGCTAAAGTGCTTGTGCACAAATTATTACAGTAAAACTTTCCATAACTTGGAATAACAGAGGTTCTAGCTTTGCTGAAATAAAGCAATTCCGAATTGTAATCAACATACAACATTTGATATCGAGAATAAAATTACTGCACGATTTATTGTACGGTACCGTAGTTGCATGGATATCATCTACTTTTGTATACAGTAACATATGTTTTAGAAATAATAAGGATTAAGTACAAAAATAAGTTATTAAACTTGTGCAGGTATTGAGAAAAACTGTGATCAAAGGCACTCCTTCACTATACACACTCCCATTGTACACATTCTTATATACTGTACAGTACAGTGAACCCTCACTTTACGCGGTCAATTGAACCCACGGCGGCCAGCGTAAAGTGAGAAACGCGTAAAGTGAACAACATAACTTATGGGATTAATTGAAATAGAGACCGGGCCGATCCCCAAACTCCACTTTTTCAGACACAATACCTACGTTGTAGTAAAAATAACTTCTTAATTTTATGATGGTATGCACACACAATTAATAATTAAGAGAAATATAAATAATATTAGGTTTTTTAACACTTACATTAGTAGCAAAGATGGCTGGGCACACGGGGATGGGGGGGGGTTGGTTCCGAGGCAGAGGGCAAATTATTGGCCCTCACCTGTATCACTTGTATCACTATCCACCACAGAGGCTTGCAGGGCCTCTTTGTCAAACCCCTCAAAGTCCATATCCTCACTATCATTATCACTATCACTGACTTGGGCCGGCTGTGGTGGGTGGCGGGTGAAGAACTCGGTAATGTTTTGATGACTGGGCGACCTTGTGCGCACCCTGCTCGCGCCGCTCTCCGCGTAAAAGGGTACACACACTGCGGAAAGTGAGCATTCCGTGTTCGGCAGGGTACCGCGTAAACGTGGAAACACGTAAAGTGGGACAGCATAACGCGAGGGTTGACTGTACAGTATATGAAATCATAAATGTTCTTTGTGTTTTTGCTAGTACGCATTTTTTACTGTCATGCAAATTTCAAAAGTTGCGCCTAAGTTCCTTTGCACTGCAACAATCTGCTACAACCTATGCCATTTCAATGAATCGGGTTTACTGCACAGGTACTATTCTTTAGCCAACCCAGGGTGTCAGGTCAGGAACTTATCCATCGTATCAAGTGACTTCTATTGTAGGCAATTTTTAACATTTATTTTGCTATATGAACAACAGCCCCCCTCCCACCTCTGCCAAGTTATTATACACTGTATATATACACTAAGTCCTCGTAAAACGTCGGCCCACTTAAAGATGTTTCGGTAATACATCGCTAAACTTTAGAGACTAAAAAATTTGTTTAACGTCCCGGTGATCCGATACTACGTCGGTTTGCGTCGCCACAGACTACTTTCTACGGTGCATCACCTGCTCTCGTCTGGCCAAACTACGCTCTCTCAGCTCGGCGCGCTGCCTTCACTCACTGAACGTCACAGTGTCCCCAAGCAACGCCGAGCCAATCTTTGTTACGCTGCTTAAGTGCTTTTGCTCTAAAATTGTACTCTAACCATTCGAAATGGCTTCCAAGCACCCATCAAGTGCTACTGATGCTAGTGTAGTGAAGAGGCAATGTAAAACCATTACCCTGAGTACGAAAATGGATGTATTAGCTCGTTTTGAAAAAGGGGAACGTGCTGTGGACATAGCCGCTGTGCTTGGTCAAACCCCCACATCAGTGCGTAATACCCGGACCAACGCTGACAAGATTAAGGTTAGTGCTGGAAGTAGTTCTTCTCTGAGTGCAACTAAGACAACTCGTACTAGAAGCACTGTGATAGAAAGGTGGAAATGATGCTGGCAACGTGGATGGAGGACCTTAATCAAGCAATGCCCCTGTGAGCCTTATGGTTATCAAGCATAAGGCCAGATACTTGTTTGATGACTTAAAGGCAGAAGAGGGTGAAGGATCAAAGGAAGAGATCTTTATGGCCAGCCAAGGATGGTTTCAATGATTTTAGCATCGTTATAACTTCCACAATATTAAGAAGACTGGTGAAGCTGCCAGTTCAGATATGGTTGCTGCCAAGACATTCCTGCCAGAATTCAAACGGATTATCCAAGAAGGAAGCTACTCATCGAAGCAAGTCTTAAATGTGAATGAAACTGGTCTCTTTTGGAAGAGGATGCCTGAGAGGACCTATATCTCCAAGGAGGAGAAAAAAGCAGCAGGTTTTAAAGCAGCAAAAGACCGCTTGACGCTGCTGCTTGACGCGAACGCTGCCTGTGACTTCAAGCTGAAGCATATGCTGATTTCTCGTGCTGCCAACCCATGGGCCCTGAAAGGTTACTCTAAGGATCACCTCCCTGTCATTTAAAAGGCAAACAAGAAGGCATGGATAACCGGCGCCATATTTAGCCAGTGGTTAAACGTGTACGCCATCCCTGCAATGAAGGAATACTGTGCCAAGGAGAACCTTGACTTCAAAATTCTTCTGATCCTTGACAATGCTCCAGCTCATCCACCCAATCTCGACGACTTGCATGAGAGTAAAAGTTGTATTCCTGCCTCCCAACACGACAGCACTGATGCAGCCTATTGACCAAGGTGTCATCGCCGCATTCAAGGCGTATTATTTACGCCGTACCATGGCCCAGCTGCTCAAGGCTACAGACGGAGATAATAAACCTACGATCCAAGAATACTGGCGTGGCTTCAACATTCTTCATGCAACTGACAACATTGACAAGGCATGGGAAGAGGTTTCAGGAAAGTTGCCTGAATGGTGTGTGGGGTAAACTGTGGCACGAGTGCGTCAACAGTTTTACGGGATTCACGGACTTAGTCCCAGCTGTGAATAGGGATATCCTCAGCTTGGCCAGACAGGCAGGCTGTGATGAGCTGGAATCAGAGGATATTGAGGACGTCCTGGCATCCCATACAGAAGAGCTCACCAATGAGGATTTGCAACAACTAACAGAACACAGTCCCGTTGAAGACGAAGACGACGAAGAAGAACCTCAAAGACCACTAACTTCCAAGAAGATGGCAGAATCGTTCAACATGTTCCAGCAAGCAATGCAAATCCTTGTAGATGACAACCCAAACAGAGAACGAAGTTCAAAGATTCTACGCAGCATTGATGAAAGTCTTGGTTGTTCCACTGAGATGCATAAGGAGAAGAAGAAGAGTAGCACCAAGCAATCAACACTGTATTCAATTTTTTGTTGCGGGATGGCAGAAGCAGCAGCAGCACCTTCACAACAGCCGGCAGCCGAGGAAGAGCACACAGCAGCCGAGGAGGAGCAAATAACAATGGAGGAGGAGCAAGCAGCGGCCGAGGAACCCCAGTCAGCGCAGGAGGAGGAGGCAGCCGCAGTCTCAGTGACTTACCACCCTCCTACCCTCCCACTCTCCTCCTCCGCTCCCGCCATCCACCTCCTCTGCTTCACTACCCACCACAGACTCGCTCTACCACCTCCGCCCATCGGTGAGTACCCATACAAAATTGGTAGTTGTATATGCGTGCACTATTTTCTATAGAAATAGCAATGATTTTCTGTATATATATAATGTATTTCATGGGGGCAAAGGGAGGCTCAGGAACATGACTCCCGTATTTTATCTAATTCTTATGGGGAAAATTTATCCGCATTTTTAGGAACGTAACCCCGACGTTAAGGGAGGACTTACTGTATACAATTTTTTGTATTTTTTTTTTTTTGTATCACTGGAAGATGCTGAGGTGGTGATAGACATCTGGGAGTGTCCCTATGTTGAAAGTCAGGGTTGTGTGTACTTTAGAGAGGAGGAATGGCTGACTTCTGTCCCAGTGTCCTTCCCCCTGTGAGGGGAACCTACGAGAAGATTCTAAAGTGAGATAAACAATAAAGAGGGTCCCCGTTATTCGTTAAGGGTTACATCGTAGAAGATAAGAATGAATCCTGAAACGACTAATAGCGTGGAATTCTTCCCCATAGAATTAATAGAATCAGGGGAGGTTTATGCCCCTATTCATTGCTAACATCACTCATGCAATGAAAAAATGGGTAATTTTCTGGCATAAGAAAAAATTAATTGTTGTACTTTGTTGTCACTGCACCCTATGACTCTCAATAAAGAATAAATGAGCAAATAAAATAGACCCTTGACATAGCACGATTCAGAACTACAGTTTTGATATAGAATGCCATCCTAAATCAGAGTTCTTCAATGTACAAGTCATAAGATGTTATTCAATGTGTGGCAAAGTTTGTAATGCCTCTCAGTCCTGTTTATGGTGTGGAGGTGAGCATACAGCTGTCACTTGAGTCAGAAATTTATTTTATCCTACCCCAAGAAAAGAATGGATCATTTTATTATGAGGAAAGAGAAAACAAATAAGGCATTCAATTAATTATCTGCATCTGAAAATTAAGTAAATTAAATTAAATTGTAGAAGGAAATGTCACAAATAATAGAGAGGCCTTTGCCATGTCAGCCTCACATGAACCACCTGCCAGAAAGAAAACTAAATTGTGGACAAGACAGTACAGGTATAGTGATGATATTTTATTAAGTATGGTTTTATAAACTGTGAAAAGGGAAACAAAGATCCCAAGGCACAGTGTGATATTTGTTATGAAGTTCTTGCAGGCTAGAGTTTAAAACCGTCAAAACAAAAGACACTTAGAAACAAAACGCACAGAACTTGATGATAAACCCCTGAATATTTCCAGAGAATGAATTAAGTTATCAGTTCAATTTCTCAGTAAGTCAACCACCGAATGAACAACAACAACTGCCATAACCTTTAATTTCTGTATATATCTCATTGCCCTACACATTTACTGAAAAACTAATTCTCCCAGGCACTCTAGATATAGTGTACAATTTTCGATCATAAGTTTTATGAAAAATTGAATAGTATCCCTCTCAGTGGTGACACAGTGTATTGGAGAATATGTACTATTGCCGAGGATTTAGAATATCGGCTGGTTACACGTCAATTGTTTGCTGGAATATTTGCAATCCAACTTGATGAAATCCTGATATTTCAAACTGCAACATTGTTAGTTTATGTGAGACAATTATGGAAAGATGATTTTATGGATGGTTTACTGTGTTGTCTGACCATACCAACAATGACAATAGGGTCAGAGCGCTACACTTTTTAACGAGTGTAGGTGTACCGTACTTGTTAAAAAGCGTAGGTAAAATCAGCACCTTAGACAGTAGCTGAATGAACTAGGCAATTGGATCAACAAAACAAAAGAAACAATTCTTGCACCTTGAATTAAATAAAAGCTAGAATTCATCATAATATATAGTTTATGCTGAACAGCCATGTATATCCCCTAGTGCTACAAAGAGTACATACGTAAAACTTCTCTGTTAAGAAACTGAGTTATTTAGAGAACTGTCTGCCCTGTTAAGAAACCGACCTACTGTACTGTATTTAGAGAATTACCTGTTCTGAAGAGGGACAGGGAGACAACCAGAATAACTTTTTATCAGTTATCAAATGTAGCTGACAAAAGACAAGGGAAGGTCTATGTATGCAAGCTACTGTAGCATCAAGACTCGGTGAGCTTGCAGACTTGAATGGTAAACTTTTGCATCTTGAACTCCTCTCTGAGGATGAGAGTTATGATGGGAGAATTGTACAGTTTCTCCATGACTTACGACGGGGTTCCGGACTGACGACCAGTTGAATTGGTCGCAAGTCGAAAAGGCAAAAATAATACATAGAAAATCTAAAATGGGTCTCTTTTTCTTCTCAGCACCACAAAACTCACACTTTTACGCTTGCCAGCCATTTTAAATGGAAATACAAACAAAAATTTTGTCAGTAAACAGCGCGATCATTACAGTCGGGACTCGAAAATATGTAATTTGAAAAATATTTTATACGACTGCGGTGGTTGTATGTCCGGGTGGTCGTAAGTCGAGTGGGTCGTAAGTCAGGAGTACCTGAACTAAGTGTTTCATTAGTACCATTAGTTAATGTCATGGGTTAACAGCTGTTGCATCCCGTACACTTGATGGGTAAACATACAAGACTCCTCTGGCTAACAGCAGGCTATAAATATACAATTTACACAGACACACACACACATACATACACAGAGATACACACAGACAGACAGACAGACAGACAGACAGACACACACACACACACACATACATACAGATAGACACAGACACACACACAGTTCAGTAAAATGTAGCCCCCTTGTAAATTACATAAACATCATACTGGGAAAAATTTTATGGACGGTTAATGTGATGATGTGCAAAATTTGAAAAACAATTTACCATATCATCAGGGCCTTCACAGGAATGTCGGTAAGGCATCCCCTGGAAAAAATGGAAATCTATGTTAAAAAAACAAACCAAACCAAAACTCTATGGTGGGTGGCTGTGTTGAAGGAGGGAGGGAAAACTGCTCTATGCAAAAAGTCACTATCAACACAAATCAAAGGAAAAGGGCAAATATTGCACACTTTGTAAAAAATATATTATTTCATGCAGAATCTAATCTAAACAAGTAGCATAACCATCCATGGGTACCAGCAAATAATACTAGTTTGTAATTGTATCTGGAGATGAGGTTTTACCATCAACAATAGTTCTTTGGGACATATTAGCCCAGCGGATATCTTTAAAAGTAAGAAGAATAATGCACTTGCTATGCAGCTTTTGTTCACCTAGAAAATCTACTCAAGGAGAGCTTCAGTCTATGGGAATAATAATAATCTTTTTATATTCTTTGGAAAGTATTAAGCATGAGTCTAGCACCAACTACCCTAAAAAATGCAACTTCAATATGCATTATCACAAGTAACGGTACATTCAATCACTGTCCATAAAGCTTAACTTCTATTGAAAATGACTGCCAGTACAGTATAATTGTAACAGCATCAACAGCTGTTTGTAATGAATTTTCTTCTATATTAAATTTTTAGGAGAGATTGACAAGGCTTATAACTGAACTTCCCCTTACACAGAAGGAGTGCGGTGCAACATACCTCAGGCACTATTTTGTTGAGCATCATCTCCATGTCATCTCTGACGTAAGGGTCCCAGTTTTCATTCAGCGCTAAACTGGCTGATGTGTGGAGGACTGGAAGAGACCATAAAATGAGATTAATTAATAAATGAGATGACATACGGTTAACAATGGTTTAAGTTAAAGGAATAAGACACTAACAAAGATACCTATTAACTTTACCTATCTCCCACTTTTGTGTTGGGTAGACAAATATATATTTTTTTCTTTAATAATGAGGTAAACTGGGAGTAGTACACATGATACTGTTCCCTCTGAAGAACAATGCTACTAACAAAGAGACAGTCATTCAATGAATAAGAGAAATTAAATGTAAATGTAGTTGTGAAAAGTGGAGGATAAATGTTCTAAGAACTGGGAGTCTGATGTGCAAGGTACAAAGAGGGGAGGGGGAGTGAGGGACTGGCAGTTAATGAGTACAGTATTATGAATAAGTAAAGCTGTAGGGTGCCATGCCACATGTGAGAGAAATATTGTGTTGTAAAAGGTAGAAGTTGGGCCAAAAGAAAAAGACTTGTACTGTATTTTGGAAGCATGATCTGTAATGTTACAGATGTGGTGGGTCTATGTGAGAATCCAACTGGAGTTAATTTAAGAATACTGAGATTGTATAACGTATATGCCTGTACTGAATTGCACTGTATTGGTGGTTGGTGTAACTGGGACAATACTGAATGAAAGTGGAAACTGGTAATGATCTTGCCAGTAAGATGCTGCATGAATTTGTGTTTTGGTGACAGTGAATGCAAAAAGATTACAGTACTTGTGTCTAATATTACTATGGACTCGAGACTCGTCTTCAGGACAAGAGTGGTGTTTGGTAAATCTACTGGGAGATGTGACTGGAACATTAGACCAGTGGGATAAATCATAGTGTAAATAAATTTTGAAGCCACTAAAGGGGTATCATATGTCTTACATGGCAGTGTGCTTAATATGATGGAAAATACAGTATTATATTAATTATTGGCTTATAATCATTGTGTACAACAAATCTGTCATTAGAAACATGCCTTGTAGCATTTTGTGGCATCGTAAGACATTTGGGTAATTTTTTTGTTTTTCATAATGGGAGTCTATTGAGAAATGGACCTTATGAAAAATTGATTTACAATTTTCTTTTTTTTAAGCGAAGTCTTTCGAAAATCAGGGTTTACCTCTACACTGTACGTCAATGTCTTAAATACATTTTAATGGACTTTCTTTAATTACAGATCGGAAAGGAATATGTGACAGATGGTAGAAGCATACTCTTTGATTATCTGTGGGAATAATGACCCTACCTTGCCAGCTTGAGGAGCATATGGGAGTCCTACATATAATGCCTAGTTTTCGTTCTGTAAAAGTGGGTTAGTGATAGGGAGGACATCAGACGTAAAACCTGCATTAAACCTGCCAAATGGCAAATGAGATATCAGAACTGTCTCTCTCCCCTGATCTCTGCTGCATTTTCTGGGTTGGCTAGCAATTATGCTTGATAATACAGGAGCCTAAACTCAAGGCTAGCATACCGAGTGGCTGCTCCATTATATAGCACATAAAACCACAGCCAGCTTTAGTGCCAAGTTGTACGTGGAAGAGTATCCCAGAAGCTGGTTGTGGTGGACTACCCGAGACCACTGTAGTACACTAATGTACGGTACAGAACAGTTCTGCTTTTCCTACAGCTTCAGGTTTGCTAGTGCACCATTATCGTGGTTTGCGGGTAATTGGGATTTGAGTTGGAAGTATGAGTGTTCATATTAAGCAGGGGAGATCAAGTGAAATTGTCGAGACATTGAACCGTAGAAAGCAGGATGTCTGCTGTGGACAAGAAACAGAAACTTGATGCAAAGAAGGATCGGCAAGGTAAGAATGGCGGGTACAAATCTTCTGGAAGAATAATCATTCTGGATCAGGTAATGTAGGAATTCTGATTGTGGAAAATGAGGAAGAGAAAGTGCTCAAGGTGATAAAGGTGAATGTGAGAGTCATAGTTTTGAAGCACCTGGTAGGCAGGAATCTGGTGACTATAGTATTTCCACGCTAAGCTGGCCTCCGTAAGCTCCGCCTCTCGTCTATAACTACAAATAGCGGATTGGTTCCCCTGAGTGTCTTACCTACCCCCAGACTGCACGTATATAAGCGTGAGTTTATATCGACCTTTTATGTTGCATACTTAAAATTTTCTAACATCCTCTCTGAAGTGCAAATGCCTTGAAATGATTTGGATTTTGATAATCCATATACTGTACTGTATATAACATTATTTTAGATAATAACAGGTCTGTTTACAAATTGTGAATACATTTATGAATACATTTTGTCTGAATTTTCTATGAAACAATCAGCTATTAGTATAGAAGAGGGGCGGTGCCTACAGACCAGGTTAGTGTAGAAAGGGTCTAGTATCTGCATGTACCCCATAGGTTGGAGTAAATGAGGAAGAAAAGAACAAGTTCTGGGATGAGCTACTGCATGAATTCTAGTTAAAGAGAAATTGTAGTACTCGGTGGTGATCTAAACAGTGATGTTGGTGTGCACGGTGGGAAAGGCTTTGCTACAAGGCATATTCAAGGTGAAAGAATACTCGAGTTTGGGGGCGCACTGAACATGGTTAGTATATGCAAGCTGTTTAAAAAGTGGACGAGTATGCAGATTACACATCAGAAATGTGATGATGTAGTCATGGCAGTTAAAATAGGCAGTTAAAGTGGATGGCAAATGTAAGCTTGAGTGAGCAGAAATAAGAATGGAGATATAGATGTGTAATGTGACAATAAGATACAGTATAAGAAACCCTATTCTGTTATAAGAGGGTGTGTACTAATTATAATGATGCTGATAATAATAATAATAATAATAATAATAATAATAATAATAATAATAATTATATACAGGTATACAGTAGTTTCAACCTACGATAGGTAGGTTTTGTCGGTTCACCTTACCTATGATAAATCATTATCTATGTGTAATAATAATACCTGTAATAATTATCATAATCATAATAATAACATTTGCTGCAACTGTTCATGTGTATGGAAAGGACAAGGATGCTGCTGCCTCTGTATTCATGTGTATCACCAAACCAATACAGGTGCAGTAGCTAAAACAACTATCTATGCAGGTGGGAGTCGATATGCTCCGAAATTTTACGTGTGACTAGTGACAGCCTTCATATACCAAAATTTATCGTCCATGGTCTCATACTGTTTCCCACAAAGTATGCACATAGTTGTTTTAGCTACTGTACATAAAGTTATGAAAATTACAATTCCTCCTACTGTACTGTGGTCTCTCGGTTAACGAACGCCTCGGTTAACGAAATTTTGGTTAACGAATTACCTTCCATATGCATCATTTCGGTTAAAAAACAAAAATTAGGTTAATGAAATTCTTACGAAAACATGTCAACATGTTTTGGCTTGCTCACCAGCTGGAAGATTAGTCCGCCAATACAGTAATCGGTTCTAGGGCTTATATTCGTTTCCATTAGAGTAAATATCAAGAAGGCTGTTATTCAATATTTTTAACACTTATTTAACATAAATGCAGTACAAGGAACTAGTTTTTGATGCGCCCATCAGCCACTTCACTCACCCACCAAGGCGTCAGTTTGTGTCTCTGTTCAGTGGAGGAAACATCTTGCTTGTGGGTCTCTTGAACACAAGAGTATTTTTATGTTTTTACAGTACAATTATTGGTCATTCTGAAATTTATTTAACATATTGACAATATATAGTGCAGTGCAGTGTTGATTTGAAGAAAATAATCTTGAACTACACCAAGTGAACTTAAAATTTTATGGGTGAAATGGTGGCATGAAACATGGGGTGACTTTTCTTCCACCCCCACTTCCTTCTCTTCTCCCTTCTCCTCCACCCCCACTTCTAATTCCCATCATCATCAACCAGGAGCCTTCTACATACGCACCTCAAAGTAAGTGTACTTTACTGCTTTTTTTTTTTACTTTGTATGTAATTTTCGGTGATCTGGAAACAATTACCGGGTACCCAATATCCAATTAAAACAATGGATTCGGTTAACGAAATTTTCGGTTAACAAACGACCTTCTGGAACGAATTGTGTTCGTTAACCGAGGGACCACTATATTACTAATAAGAAGTGCCCCCTTTTGGGATATTATTATTATTCTTGCTATAAGAAAGAATAATTTATCATCGTCTAGCTACAGAAAATTTTTCTAAAGTTCCTAATGCTGATGATGATGTTTCTTAGTGAGTATGAAATGAACTGACATTATTATTAATGTCAATGAAAAGTTGGGACGACACCTCCTGATGCTCACGTAAACAAAGTTGGGGTGGCATCATGTCAGCAGCAATGACATTTCAATTTATGAGAAATTTGGGATAAAAACTTTAATAGGCAAAGTACTATTCCTCGATGCAAACTGCTTTATTCTAAAGATAAGAAATAAGTTTTCTTCAACAGATGTTGTAAAACTGTTGATTCTGCCAATGACATTCTCACTCAGTGACACCCCTGTTGGTTTACTCATCTATACAGTAAAGTATATACTTTACCTGTACTGTACTTTATGATATTATTTCTTTGGATATATTTTTAAAACTGCACCTAAAAAAATTAGCTGTGAGTACTGTACAGGTACTGTGAACACTGAAACTTGTGAGCTACAGGTTAAGATGTGTGGAGACACCAGTAGTCAGGTCAGCCGACTGCAAATTTATCAATGATAATACAACTCACTGCTGCTTTTATGAGTTTCAATGGAGTCTTTTCTATAGTTGTAGGTTTAATATACTGGGGGTCTGGCCGAGGCCTGAAGAGTGAGTGTGAGACATGTCATCATACTCATATACAGTAAGGCTGGTCAAATCACTTTTGGTTTATCAATATTTTCAGTTTCTGAATTTGGAGTAAGGTTCCTCAGCCTGTGTTACACACCTTCACTTATTATTTCCTCATACTTTATACTACTATTAACTTTGATGTCCAATTCATGTGAAACATGTTAATAATGAACAATAAATGATGGTTAATAGTGAAATTGGGGCTACTTGATCCATATTAAAGGTTGTAATGCCAAAAGTAGTTTTTGTACCAGAAGTATGAGGAATATGCACAATTTGTGACATGACTTACTATAATCAGGAGTGAATATATAGAGATCTTACCCCCGTTAAGTACTTCTTCCTGCAGTAATACCTTAAATAATTCTAAAAGCTTGAGAAACTGTCCATAAATATAAGCTACCAAAATCTGTATACTCTATCAGGTGTGACCATCTTCCTGCCATGAAGGTGGGTCAGGTGGTCAATCAGGTTAGGCATTAACTACTGTTCCTTGGAAGGCGTGAGGTGAACATGTATGTATGGTTGGATATCACCTTTATTTCTGTGTATTTTTCCAATTTGCACCGTACAGATTAACCAGCATTTTACCTCCATTCCCTAAATTATTTTATTAGGAATAAAATTGATGATACTTTGGCTATGTATCTCAACACTTAAACAGTCTTTCTCACAGGCAAATTTTAAGTACAATGGTTCAGTAATATAATAAATGGATCTATATTACAGAGTATATCATTAGTAAAACTATTTCTTGAATTTATCATATATCTCAGCCAAATGTCACTATCAACCCATCAGCTGTGAAAATTTTGCATTACCGAGTTGCCTTAAAATTATCTTTTATGCTGAATTGTACGTTGCAGATATATGAGTTAATTCTACTGGGTTACAGTGTTGTGTACAGCCCAGTATTAAATTTATAAGCAAAAATGCAGACGACACCCTCATGTGCCAGAGATATGCACATGTAAACACTAGTCCATGTACTCACTCTGTACGTGTAGTAGGCCTACAGCAAATTGTCTGAGTTCAGGAATTTCCTTCAGGACTTCGTCAGTTACTAAATGAATCCCTCTATGCTGTGGTCGGAGCTTGATTTTTCTTTGAAACCACGCTGATCCAATTTGTATTCCTCTGCTGGAGGAAGCCATGTTTGCTCTGACCATTGACAGCAGAAGGTCTACCTTACGCTCTATCACGTCCTTTAACACCACTTCACCACTTCATCATCCTTGAAAATGCATCGAGGCCGATTAAGAATTCATTGTCGAGGTAATATAATGATAAAGAATGACATAAAAGGGAAAGATGAAGTGTAAAACATTAAAGATGCAGGATTAAGGAAAATTATCCCCGACAGATGGCACTGGACGGCCCGGCCAGGAGCAGCTGACGGCAGACAAGCGTCAGCGTGTTTACCTCTGACACTGGTGGCTGACCTCACCCACCCTGGCTGACCTCACCCACCCTGGCTGACCTCACCCACCCTGGCTGACCTCACCCACCCTGGCTGACCTCACCCACCCTGACTGACCTCACCTACCCTGACTGACCTCACCCACCCTGGCTGACCTCACCCACCCTGGCTGACCTCACCCACCCACCCTGGCTGACCTCACCCACCCTGGCTGACCTCACCCACCCTGGCTGACCTCACCTACCCTGACTGACCTCACCCACCCTGGCTGACCTCACCCACCCTGGCTGACCTCACCCACCCTGGCTGACCTCACCCACCCTGACTGACCTCACCTACCCTGACTGACCTCACCCACCCTGGCTGACCTCACCCACCCTGGCTCAACATGGACCATCATCACGTCGAGAAACTGAGTGCCTCTCTTGTCCGCGAGTATCTTGCCAGGAAGGTAAATTGATATTAAGGTCATCGTGTAAATTAAGAAGTTAAATATTATATTAAGCTTTACCTTACTATACCAGTCAGCATGACAGGTAGAATTAAAGTTTGAAATGTCAACTTATTAAGTCTACCACATTTAGAACACGTATAATCGAACCCCTATACGGGTCAAATGTGAGAAGGGTTATCCAATGTTCCCCTACCAAACATGGCAGGTTTTCTTTGGGTGTTCTGTTTTCCTCTTGTATTAACACTGAACAATGTAGCTCGTGGCAAAGAACAGATTGACCATCTCAATGGCTTGTAGGCAGCCTACAGTAGGCTGATAAGTGGTGCCTTCATGTATATCAGCGAACTGAAACAAGTGTCATTAAACTGATTTTATTTGGAAGGAACCACTGAGCATTACCAAAAAGTAGAGAAACAAATGTTGACAATAGGAAGATGATGGTGTTGGCTAATGACAACCATTATAATCATTGCCACTGTATCCTCCATCTTTCATCATTATTGTGATTTTAGGTAAATTAATTTACAATCATTTTTACAGGTATTTTATTTGATTATGATAATTACTGGTATCATATATTACAGTGCTTATTTAGGATTGAAGGTAGATCATTCAAAAGGTAGTTTTTTGGGATTCACAAATTTTGCTATAGTATATGTCATTTTTTAAACATATCCCATGTGAATAACAAGGGATACCTGTGTATATGCTAAAGTACAGTATATTAAGCTGTATTATATACTGTACAGTATATATAAATTAGCTTGAGATGTGTTTATTATACAGGTATCCCTTGCTTAACGAATGTTCAAGAAACGAAAATTAACTTGTATGAATATCCTAAATTAACACCTCTTTTTTATTTAATGAAAGCTTACCCAACTTATACAAATCTGGGTGCCAGCAAAAATTCAAATCACTCCCCTGGGAGTCAGGGCCCTGGGGTATCAACCCATGGACCTCCTGTCTCTACTGGGTTACTTGACCTTAATTCTATTTTAATATAGGATATTAGTATCAATTCTCCATTTACCATTATCAGTGACTAAGGCCTATGCATACATCAACCTTTAATTTTAATTTATTTTTATCTATTCATTCAGAGATTGATGAAGACACTGCAGCTGATGGATGAGGAACAAAGTGTATTTACCACGTGTGTTCGCAATCGCCTCAAACTCATGAAGGCGTTGCACATTGGGAAACTCATGAAGCGCAATAAGAAGCTGGATTCTCCTTTGGAATCCATGATTGAAGTCATTGTCCAATTTTTGCTTGGACATGTACGTGCATCCAAACAGGGAACAAAAACACCAGAGAACAATCATATTTTTGAGGGTATGGAAGACCAACTTGTGAGATCCTCTGGTCTTGATGACACTACTGTCACAGGAAATGATGGTGACAATTTACTTGCTGGTAATATAACTAATAGAAATTCTGGTATAACAGTTGATGGTGCTACACATATAGAAAATGAGCAAGAATCATGTGAAGGTGCCAAGGAACAGTGCCAACATATCCGAGAACCCTGTAATGTGAAAGAACAGTTTAGTAAAGATAAAGAGCAAAGTTTGTCATCGGAACTGCAAATTAGAAGTCCAGTTAATGCTGTTGAAAATACAGTACCCGTTAAAGCTGTTGAAAATGCATATAATGAAGAGAATTTTTTTGCTGTTAATGATTATAGTACTAAAGTAAATGATGATCAGACTGGGAATGTTTTACCATTTGTCAATGTTTTTAAAAATGCTGAAAATTTATTTCTATCCCTGCAAGATTCAACTGAATCTTCATTGGAAGAATCAGAGACATATTCAGACTCTGAAATCAGTGTTTCATCTGTTGTTGAGCTTCTGAAGGATAAACCAAGTGGATGTGGGAATAATTCCAATATAACAATGAATATAATAAAAAGAGATAGTTCAGAATTATTAGGAGTGCCAAACTTGTCTCCTAAAAGTTTAGCTGCTGACAGTCACCACGAAAAGGTTGAAGTGATAGTTGCATGGCTCGAGAAAAGTGAGAATAAGAGAACAGATAGAGATGCTTGTAAGACCTTAGAAACATGCGAATATGAAACCTCAGAAGATGAAACTGAGGGAACTGAAAAATGGTTGAAAGAGAGATCTGAAAAACACAAAGGATTTACTAAAATTTTAAGAGAACAGAGGAGTGAAAATGAGAAGGAAGAACCAAATGAGCTGAAATTTTCATCTCAAGGTAAGTTACCTGTACAGTAATACCAATTTATCATCAAAGAATGGAAAGTCATATTATTTTTTGCCTTGTATCATGTGAAATGTCGTGGTGGATTAAAGGGGGAAAAGACATGAAGGTCACAACCCACACCTGACAGTTTCTTGACAAAGTTTGTTTTTCCCAGAGATATTTTCACAAAAACATGATGCTATTCACAGCATCACATGTCACCGTCACATTCAGGGTAAGCAAAAGCATAAAAACTAAGTACTGTACGAAATTAGTTTTCACAACTTTTATGTATTGAGCCTTAGCTTTGAATAAAGAGAATAACTTGTTAGTACTGTAAATATAAAAGGCAAAGTCAGGGGCAGATCCAGGAAAAATAAAATGCTGTGGTGATTATTACCATGAATATGCTCTTTTAATAATTGTGTCTGCAGTACAGTACTTAAACACTATGAGTATGACAGTTCATCCTTGTGCAGCACTGTAGAACCTTGTTACTTCTTGACTTTTATCTTCACCATCAATGTTCTTACCCATTTTGAACTGTCCCAGTTGATTTAAACACCATACTATACTGTACACCTGTTCACAATTGCTATTCTTTGCCCATGTAAGTGTTGTACAGTACCTCAGTAAGAGCAGCTCTTGCCTAGCTGGCTTTTACTACAGGTGGTTGTGATTCACCTCACATGCAGGCAGGACTGGTGAGTTCCCTCTAGGGTTGTACGTCTTATAATGATTTTCTTATGGTATATTACTGGTACAGTATCACAGTAAATCCTCAAATTACTGGTATAGTAGTACAGCTGTACTGTCAGACATAATAATACTGTAATAATAATAATATTTATTGAATGAAATCGTCATACAACTTAACAATTGGTTTGGCACATATATATACAGTACAGTACAGCGGGATGATGTTCCAGGGTAGTGATCATACCCATTAAATCTGCATAGATTATTATTAACATTGAAAATAATAGGTGTTCCCCGAAAAACTCTTTATTATTTCAATCTGACCCTCCAACCTTAAAAAGTGTCCCCACCCCTGCAGTATACACTACACCACTGTACTGTAAAACACCAGGGGGAGGGGTCCAAAGTACCAGTGGGGTATGCTATAACGAACGGATCCTACTACGAATATTCCTATAACGAACGGATTTACCTATAAAATTGAGAATGCTATAACGAACAAAACTCCTACAACGAACATTATTAAAAAATTTTTTTTATTTTTTACTAATTTATTGTTTCTGTATTACAAGTATTAATGGTATTCTTTATTTCAGGGGTTTAGATGCATATTTATGCACTTTTTTACAATTTTTACAATTTTATATTATATTTTTCAGTGTTAAGTGGTTGTATTTGGGGGGCCTGGAACGGATTAATCCTATATCGAACGAATGCTATAACAAACAAGGTTCTAGAACCAATTAGATTCGTTATAGCATACCCCACTGTTGCTGAAAGTTTGGACTAATGTATTCAAAAAAATTAATTATAAATGTACCCTCATGCGCCATAGTTTCGATGCACCCTCTACCGCTACTCCTGGCTCGACGGAAGTCATAGTCAGGGCTGCAAACCAAACGGACCGTTCGTATAGTATAGTGATGGTAAATAAAGTGTTGTGAAGACACTAAAAAACCTGTATCGTGCATATATTCTCTCAAATATTGCATCACGAACTGCTATTTGTACAATACAGCGAAGCTTCGAGCTACCACATTGCAACCCTGAACAATGGGGGGGGGGGAACGTTAGGTATGAATCTAAGGCTACAACTTCCATTGAGTCAGGGGTAGGGGTAGAGGGTGCATCGAAACTATGGCACGTGAGTGTACAGTCAACCCTCGCTTTACGCGGTCCCACTTTATGTGTTTCCACGTTTACGCAGTACCCTGCCGAACGCGGAATGCTCACTTTCCGCGGTGTGTGTATCCTTTTACGCGGAGAGCGGCGCGAGCAGGGTGCGCACAAGGTCGCCCAGTCATCAAAACATTACCGAGTTCTTCACACGCCACCCACCACAGCCGGCCCAAGTCAGTGATAGTGATAATTATAGTGAGGATATGGACTTATATGGACTTTGAGGGGTTTGACAAAGAGGCCCTGCAAGCCTCTGTGGTGGATAGCGATACAATTGATACAAGTGATACAGGTGAGGGCCAATAATTATCTGCCCTCTGCCTCGGAACCAACCCCCTGTCCCCGTGTGCCCAGCCATCTTTTCTACTAATGTAAGTGTTAAAAAACCTAATATTATTGATATTTCTCTTAATTATTAATTGTGTGTGCATACCATCATAAAATTAAGAAGTTATTTTTACTACAACGTAGGTATTGTGTCTGAAAAAGTGGAATTTGGGGGTCGGCCCGGTCTCTATTTCAATTAATCCCATATGTTATGTTGTTCACTTTACGCGTTTCTCACTTTACGCGGGCCGCCGTGGGTTCAGTTGACCGCGTAAAGTGAGGGTTCACTGTACATGAAGCATAATAAACTTGTAAAATCCAAAACAGTACTTTATATTAATGTCACAACCACCCAACTCTGGCCACAAAATTAAGAATACCCAGATGTTTAACGAGTCTTTTGGTAGCAGACTAAAGCTCAGCACCATGAACAACACCAGTTGATTGATCCTGCACTTGCCACATACAAAGAGCTTCTTCCAGTTGTGCAGCCTTCAGTTGTTTCAAAGTAATTCTTGTTGACACCAACTGTACTCCTTACCAGCACTGACATCAAAGTTTAAAGCAAACTTCTTTATCTTGTCTTTGCTTTTCTAATCAGACATTGTTTGAATATGATGAACTCCTCCACAATTATTCCTGCAGCAGCTAGCTACACCTCTTTAAGTTTATTATTTTTAACTTGTTTGCAGTAGTTATGGAAACATGTTTCTTTTTCTTTTCACCCTTTTGAAATATAAAGTACTGTACTACAGTACAGTACCTCAGATCTCTGCAAAGTTATTCCATGGATATATTACACTAACTGATACCAGACTGGACCTAGTCCAGATTACCGTATTTGCCGGCTTATAAGACGCATTTTTTCCCCCAAAAATGTATCACAAATTACCCTACGCCTAATGCGCTGGTATTACGGATGGGAGGCCGAGCGCCGTAGGCGAAGGTGCCGAGCTTGGGAGTCTGGGACGAGCAGTAGTCCACTAAGCACAAAACTTGTGTTGCTAATAATATTACTAATAATAAAATACTGAAAAACAAGCCAAATTACTGTATCACAAATTTACGGTAAATTTGCCGAAGACGTAAATAATGGCTTACATTGGCTTAACGGCAGAGGGAAGCTCACAACATCTCACTCTACCTCCTCCCCAGTATACTTAACCCACACCAGATACATGTCTTACATTATTTAAGGACTGTATTACCTTTAAGAAACATTTGTTTATTATCTAAATGAAAAATGACCCAAGAAAGATTGAAGAAATGTTAACAGAAAGTTCAGCCGCCAGTCAGCCATTTGCAATGAGTCGATGATACCAAAACAATAGCAATGGTGCTACACCCTGGTGGCAGATCGCGGCAACACAAAACATCACGGCCAAAAATACGAGTTTCACATCCCGTCGGTAATTCTCTTGACCAAAATATAAACAAGGTAGAGTTGGGTTATTCCCTTAACAGTGTTTATTTAAATTTCCTACAGAGTTCAAAACCAACGAAGGCATTGCTATAACATACAAGTTTAAGCTTGATGTCGTAGGCTATGCGAAAGAACACGGTACAGTAATAGGGTAGCTGCGCGACATTTTGGTCCACCACCAACCGAGAAAATGATAAGGACTTAGAGGAAACAAGAAGATCAGCTGAAAGCTGCTGGACGTAGCAAACACTGTCTCCGTAAGGGAATTGTAAAGTGGCCAGAACTAGAAGAAGAGTTAAAAACATGGGTGTTAGACCAAAGAAGCTTGGGCATTTCAGTATCCACCAAAATGATTATTCACCATTCAAGACTGATAGCAACGAACAGAGATATCGATGATTTTAGAGGATCAACATCAGGGTGCACCAGATTTATGAGGAGAAATAACCAATGTATGAGGGCTAGAACAAGAATAGAACAAAAAATGCCCGCTGAATACGAAGATAAAATCATTGAGTTTCACAGGTATGTGATTAATGCCAGAAAAGAAATTAATTTTGAACTTTCACAGAGAGCAAATATGGACGAAATCCCTCTGACATTCGATGTGCCATCAAACAAGATGGTAGACTCCAAAGGTGCTAAATCTGTGACTGTTAAAACATGTGGCCACGAGAAGACACACTACACAGTTGTTTTAGCATGCTGTGCTGATGGCACAAAACTGCCACCTTTTCTAATTTTTAAAAGAAAGACATTACCTAAAGAAAGAATACCCAATGGAGTTTATGTTCATGTCCATCCAAAAGGTTGGATGGGTGAGGGAGGAGTGAAATTGTGGATTGATAAAGTGTGGTCCAGGCATCCTGGTGGGCTATTAATGAAACCTGCCTTATTAGTTTGGGACCAGTTTCGAGCTCATAGGACTGAACTTGTTAAGAGGAAAGTTGGACAACTGAAGACTCAGTTAGCTGTAATTCCAGGAGGCCTAACCAGTCAGTTGCAGCCTTTAGATGTCTCTGTCAATAAGCCATTTAAAGGATTCATGAGGGAGGAGTAGAACAAGTGGATGCAGGCTTCAGATTTTGAAGTAACACTGTCAGGAAGAAGGAAGAGGCCTACTATTTCACAGGTGTGTGAGTGGGTAAAAAGTTCATGGAATGCTGTAAAAGAAGAGATAGTTGTGAACTCATTCAAAAAATGTGGTACTGTATTAGTAATGCCCTTGATGGTACTGAGGACGATTTATTTTTTGAAGAAAATACTGATGACCCAGATCCTATTGTAGAGAATTCCAGTGATGAAGAGAGTAATATGGATGTCAGCAGTGAGAATGGGTTTTCAGGCTTTGAGGATGCTGATTTACCTAGTTCTGAAGATGATG